AAGGGGCAGATAGAAACATGATAAACAACTGTGGAACACTACACAAATGATGTGCATATCAGACCTTATCACTCGTAAAACAGCTACTGCATGAGTTAGTTCACTTCTCCTCTTTTGTTAGTACATATAGGTGAGTTTGTTTTGCTGTGACCTCCATCTCCATTTTTGATAGACATAAGAGAGTTTAGGGTTTTCAAGCAGCTATGCCTAAAAAGCCGACTCCAAAATCAAATGCATCGCCAAGTACAACGGACGACTGGATGGCACCAGTTCTCACAGCAGACGAAGAAGCTGATGTAGAAATAGTAGAAAAACAAGAGAGTAAAGGGAAAGGGAAAAAGAGCAAAGGCTCGAGGAGAACAGGATCAAAGGGTAAAAATGCTTCAGCTAATACGATGAGCAAGTCGAGCTCAATGAATCTAAAGCCGAAGAGCGCGTCAAAGCAGATGCCTATCCGCAAAAAAACCAAAGGAAAAAAGGGAAGCAGGTCAAAATCGAGCACCCAAAGTCTCGATCGAGCTACTGGAGGAGCTGATACCAGTAGGAACAGTGCTGCTGGCACATCCAACAGCAAAAAAGGACCAATAATTTGTGGATCTAGGAAAAAAGGAAGTAAGACAAAGGGATCGAAAAGTCCGAGTAAGAAGAAAGTGAGAACGCCCGGCCCGTGCGCCGTGAAAGTGAAGAAAGGCAATAGAAGAAGACGACCGAAGAAAGCGTCGAAGAAGAAAAGCAAGGAAAGTGATAGCAGGCCACCTTCATCAATGACATCTTCACAGAGCGAAAGCGTAGACGAGGTGCGACGAAGTTCCATTAGTAAATGAGCAATTCATAGCGTATTTGACTTTGAAAAGTAAACTTAGATCACAACATGTGTAATAGTGAGCCGGATGAACACAGGTGGTGGCTGATAAAAGGTGATAACAACTGGTAACGACTGATAAGTGACGCCACAATATAAACTTGGCAAATTTTGTTGCACCCTTCGCGGCGACAGTGCAACTTTGGTTCACGTACATTGTATAGGGTCGGACGGGGACGTGGATGCTGGATATATTGACCAGTTTAGCTCCGCCCGCTACCGCGCGCATTGATAGAACTGACAATCGATGAAGCTTTAGGTTTCACCGCTAAATTATAGCTGCTTCGTTAAATGTATTACTGTCCGTTGCCCATCTTGGCTGTATCTCACTGTTTGATAAGCGCAGTGAAGTGCACAGCTAAAGTGATGATGTAAACAACCACTATGCGTCGAGTATCGAGGTAATTTAGCGGTCGAATATCTCAAAACGGAATGCCCAGTATTCATTATCATATTTATTCGAGCATCCCATTCATCCTCAAGAACTCTAGAAGGTGTAGCGGTCGAAAGGTGTTTGAGTTTACAATTACAACGCTGATGAAATGATATGAAATAAAGTGGCATATCCACAATCAGCTCAGAACAACTTTCGTCAGCTTTGGCTCGGCTTTTAGCACTCTTGGAAGGACGAAATTCATACGGGAACTATCCATTTAAACACTATTTTCGAACGCTACAAGTACTTCAAGAAGCGTGAAACTGCTATGGCCTACCAATGGAGCGGGAAAAGGATTAAGCTAGAAAAGTCGACGCAAAGTCAATCTGTGCCATTCCGAGCTGGGTATAATGGGATAAGTAGGTCACGCCCAAGGCCACTGCTTGAGGGAGCACCGAAACGTTCACATCGTTCGGTCCCGCTCCGGCTCGAAGGTGTTATCGACCGGAGGGCTTAATAATATTATGAGAGGGATTAGCGTTGTCTACAAGAAGCTAATCGTGACTCCTTTCCCCGGACACACTGTAAGCCAGGGTGAAAATCGTGTCGAGGAAATAACCGCCTCTTTACGACCCCCCTCCAAAACATGAACTCTGATACGACCCCTTTTTGTCCTCTGCACATCCGGTTTCATATCAAAAAATGCTAGTTTCAGATGTGCGAGAGGGACGCAGCGCCGCTGCCACGCAAATGCGGCTTGATCCAAATGCTAGATTCAATTCTGCTCAGATTAGGTTCTCCTTCTTTCCTTTAAAGACATTTAACCTTTGCCACATTGGCCGGAAAGTAGAACATTGAAGGAGGTACTGCCCCTACACAGTTGAACAGTCTCGCGCTCCAGTATAGCGGCGCTAACTACCCGCGATCGCGTCGCGCGCTGTGCCTAGAGCGCGCTAGTTGGAAAAATCGTCAAATGTACCCCCTATTCAAAGGACTATAACTTTCTTCATTGATAACCATTTCAGAAAGTGAAGGCAGCTTTTGAATGCACAAGACTTCTAGTTTCTAAATTGTGCTGAGCGTTTTTCTAAGCACGCCTATTCTCGAGAGTGGGAGACGTCGAGGAAATTGTCGAGGAAATTGAAATTCACATGCGAGTTCCCACTCTTTGAAAGGCAGTAGCTGTCTTCATTGGCAATGCTTTGAAAATCGGAGGAAAGCGTTGTGAAGTAGAAGATTTACGCTTTCTGATAGGTGCTCCAGTTGTTTCGAACGCTTTCTAGTTCGCGAGAAATCTGCGTCGAGGAAATGTCAAGGAAATTTTCGAAGCCACTCGAAAACTCTATTACTCCCTCGCCGTAGTAGGGAACTTCTTTGAACACCTTCAAAATTTTGTATAACACAGAGAGGCACCAAAATTTTATTTCAAAAGAATTCCAAAAGTTCAGAAAGTTCGAAAATTCCAAAAACTCGAAAGTTTCAAAAGAGCAAAAAGCTATTTGAAAAAGAATCCTTTTGAAATCCTCCGCGATATTTCGGTGTTTAACACCTTCTTCAGGCATGTGTTTGCCACTGCCAAGTGTAAAGCTGCCCTTACGGGAGCCGCGCCTTTGTAGTGAAGAGAATTTTCGAAAATACTTCTTTGAAACCTTCAAAATACTTCTGTACACGTCAGTTCGATGGAGTAAATTGAAAATGATGCACTTGGCGCGGATCCATTCCGTTCTTGTATGCGCCATGCAGTGACCCCACTCGGAGTCATTGGGAAGGTGTTTTGTCCTAGTGACGACTTGCTTAAGCACACCAAAAGATATTTCCAGTATTAACTAATTAGGATAACTCTTGTGGTCATAGTGATGTCTGATCACTCCTTTATTCAAATCGCTTCCTTTCCAACCCGTTCTGATGAATGACAGCTTGCGGTTGCAGGATCTGATGATGCCAAGAAGGCTGCGAATCTGCCTGTTTTGAACTTTCTACCAAGATGCTGTTCCTCCACTAAGTTCTCGAAGCATGTGCATCATTCTAGAGTAGATACTCGCTGCCCTTTCCCTACGATTCTTTTGCAGGACGCGTTGCCTTCCTATGCCATACTGATCACTACGAACCAAACCAACAACCACTTGTAAGATGTTATTTGCATTAGGCTAAGTACAACACTTGTGAAACTAATGATGACAGCAAATAAGTGGCAGCAGCACCGTTGTGTCCGTTGATGAACCTTTTGATTACGACCCCCTCCCAACTCTCATCGGAGCAAATACGACCCCCTGTCGAGGATTTCCTCGACCGTTATTCACCCTGCTAAAGCGACAGACGGCCAGCAGACGTTGAGTAGACGTTTAGTGCATGTTTCAGGACATGGCCATGAATTAGTAACGGTAGTTCTGCCACTCAAGGAACTTTTGCTGCTCCCGTAGATCTGCCTCACACGGGAATTCTCTTTAGTGGAACATCAGCCTAGCTTAGCCGAAGAGGCGATGCCCAATGTTGCAGTTCGACGAAGATTCCATTGGGCTGCTGTGCTTACATTACGCTAAATGTGAAAAAGATTCTGTCACATACCGCTGACCTCAGTGTTGCGTTTACGACATTATGCTAATCACATTTAATTGTTTCAGGTTGCCTATCTACTGTTTATCCTTAGGAATCATACGTCATGAACAACAGTTTTACTATGTAGGCGTTTTCAATAAAAGTACAGTTTCAAACCTACCAAAAGGCGTGATGGGATTGTCTTCAAAGAAACCAGCCGCGAGGAATTTTTCCGAAAGATTGTTGCTCGGGATGTTAAGATCAGTGGGTGCCAACTGAAAAACTTGAAGTAGCTTTCTAAAACAAACATCGATAGCAGTGCTTCTCTACAATGGACTCTAATGTGCCATTCCGCTCATTATGAAATACCCTCGAATAAACGTGCACACGACCCCAAAAGAAAAGACATTCTGAATGTGTAGTCAAAACGATTTAGCGAATCAAAAAACGCACACATTGGCAAGTTGCAGGGAGAAAGTGTTTGCTCCAGTAGATGTCATTGCCAGAGTTCTGTGCAGCAATTCGCTAGATTTGGAAAAGCGGTAATCTACCATGAACTATCTCGTCGAACAAGGCGCAGCTCCACCGCTAGTCCACTGCATCAAATCGCAATGTTTCCTCCTTCTCAAGAAGACGTCTCAGGCCGCCCCCCCCGGCAGGCCACACGGCCATCACCATCAGTTGTTGCTCGTGTGGAAGAATATGGAGCTCTCCGAGGACCTTCGGCCTTACAGAGCCGATGTCATGGAAAATAGACGCTAGCGAAACAAGGCAAAGAGTTATGTTCTGGTCCTGCGACATTGGAACGCGAGTTCTTGGTCGCGAACGCCACTTACTAAAACCGATGAATCGAGCAAGAATTGTATGGCCACCAGAATGCGTGGGCCTCTACCTGCCATCGTTTCCAGTTTAAAGGCCTCACTACGAAGAAATAGGCATGAACTTCATAGTCCAGCAGAGCAAGGAGGCGGGTCTTCCCAGAGTACGAGTCCAAAATTACTTCTTCACGGTGCGCTGAAAGAAACACCTGCTTGCTCATATCATAGAAATGTCCATAAATTGAAGAAACCGGTGGTATTATGCCAACCAAATTCAAGGCCTCGATCTGCTCATTCCCCGAACAACTTCGCCAATTTTCCCAAGAGGATGGTGGCTATCTGGAAGAGTACTGTGGTAATTGTTGATTTACTATTGTTGGCCGAGTCTTGATCACTCATCTTGTTCACCATCCTTTGTATTTTCCAAATTGGTCGTAATGTTACAGTGGTCGTAGCCCTGCGCAGTCATGTCAGCCACTCTATGCTTGATACCTTACCTGTTTAAGAAATACTACTCCAGCTCAAATTGCTTCACTACAGTTTGCCCAGACTGAACCGACCTTCATGAGCAAACCATCTACGAACTCTCTGATTCCCCATGACTTTGCCTCTCGAAATTGAAATAGTGGGGTAAGTTGAAGTGAGAGATTGCGATAAAGTATATGTGCACCATGGAAGATTACGCACCAATGTGAGCAGTAGCCAGGGGACCGAGGAAACCGAGATGTGGCCTTTTCGTGCTAAGGTGCTTAGTTTCAGCGCCAATGAAGCGCTGATCACTCTAGCTCGCACCGCTTGTGCTCCATATCTCAGGCCGTTGTCGATTTATCAATTATGATATGCTATTCCACTTCGAACGCGTATCCTATAACATCCCCATGGAATGCGTTGAAATCATGGCCTTTGCTAGTATCATGGTGGCTATCGGTTTGACATGTGCAAACGACCTCTTAGTTGGTTGCTAGCTCGTCCACTACCGGAGGTCAACGGGCAGAAAAGCGATCCAATTTTGTGCGTTTTCAACTGACTTCTTTGCTTTTTTTCTTTTTCTTTTTTCTTTCTTTCACTAGGGCATTATTCACGTTTCCATTCCACTATGACCCAACCCCAATCCTTTTTAATCCCTCGCCTTTAGTGAGTGAGAAGCGCCGCCACTGAACCCCGCTTCCCCCAAAAAACCCACAAAATTCCGAATCCGTTCATTTGGTGTAGTGTACTTGCGGTACGCATTACTATGGGCAAAACTAACTCGCCCTCCCTCCTTCCACCCTAGAAACTAAAAAGAACATCAGAGGAAATACGTGGAGGGATATGTAAAAAATTGTACTTTCCCCAAAGTTCCTTCCCTCCTCCTAGGCTCGGTGCGTATAATAATGCCCCTACTACATCAGTGCAGTCTTTTCCCGTAATCTGAAAAAGCAATTGTGTTTCAGAAGATTTTTTTCGAGAAAAGTTCTAAGCGGAGCACGAAATTACATGTCCATATGGTGCTTCCGTTCTTGGCCAGTCTGCTCCAAACACACGGTCGACTCTCTCTGCAGAGCGAATGACGGTGATAATGTGATTGGCGTCCTTCTTTGACGCTGCTCGTGGCCAAAATGAGCACACCATAGGAAGATTCTGAAACACGATGACAACATCTTCACGATGGCACTATTTTGTCTTCACACACGCTAAGCTAGAATACGCGATAGAATTGTCTTTCCCTGACTGAGTATCCTTCATTGAAATACATAAATATCCTTCAGAAAATATACACATCCATCAAGTTAAGGCAGAATTCAGAGTTGGAGATCGTGCATTCGATTGAGCGCTTAGTTTATAAGGAAAGGGATATCGATTATGTGAGGAGCAAGTAGGCTATCATTCGACCGCTCAGTGGGCGAAGCAACAAATCAATACCTATTCTTATCGCCAACTGGCTCACCGCTTAATATCCTACTATATATAATCGGCTAAGCGGTTGTGTGTGTGTCTGTGTGTGTGTATGTGTTTGTCTGTCTGACCGGAAATTCATAGCTCGGGCACCAGTGGTCGTCAGGAGTTGGTTTCAAGATATGATATAGGGGTGGGACGGGAAACATATTTGGTGGGGTAAAGAAAGTGATCACAACTGATAAGGGCTGATAAAAGGCGCTAGAACGCAAGTGTCGCGAAATTCATAGCTCGGGCACCAGTGGTCGTCAGGAGTTGGTTTCAAGATATGATATAGGGGGTGGGACGGGAACATATTTGGTGGGGGTCACAAAGTGATAACGACTGATATGAGCAGATAAGAGGCGCTAGAACGCAAGTGTCGCGAAATTCATAGCTCGGGCACCAGTGGTCGTCAGGAGTTGGTTTCAAGATATGATATAGGGGGTGGGACGGGAACATATTTGGTGGGGGTCACAAAGTGATAACGACTGATATGAGCAGATAAGAGGCGCTGAAACACAATTTTCACAAAATTCATAGTGCGCTTCGCAGCAGTCGTCAGGAGCTGATTTTGGGACATGATATGGGGGTGGACGGTAAACATATTTTGTGGGGGTCAAAAAGTGATAACGACAGATGAGGACTGATAATTACGATATGCGTACGAACGTAGAGATTACTCGAAACCAGATTGCAGATAATGCATTTCATTTCAATATCATTTCATTAGCGTTATAATTGTAAATTCAAACACCTTTCAACCGCTACACCTTCTAGAGTTCTTGAGGATGAATGGGATGCTCTAATAAATTTGATAGTGAATACTGGGCATTCCGTCTTGAGATTACCAAAAATTATTCGACCGCTAAATTTCCTCGATTCTCGATGCATGGTGGTTGTTTACATACATCACTTTAGCTGTGCGCTTCACTGCGCTTATCAAACAGTGAGATACAGCCAAGATGGGCAACGGACAGTAATGCATTTAACGAAGCAGCTATAGTTAAGCGGTGAAACCCAAAGCTTCACCGATTGTCAGTTTTGTCAGAGGCTTCCGTGTCATGCGCGCGGTAGCGGGCGGAGCTAAACTGGTCCTAATATCGCCTGATCGCATGTACACTGGTGTGCAAAAATTAAGGACGGAAGCAAGTTTCGCATGATATCTCACTGTAGCTATCCTAGGTCGGTGAAATTTGACACCATACATAGAAAGAAAGGTTACAGTATAGTACAGAGGGTTACTAACAGAAATGCGCAATGGTATAATTGGAGAACACGCTTTTCTTCGAAGACAGGGACTGAGGCGGCTGATGGGCGCTACCCTAATTTATGATAAACCTTCAGAGGAGAGAAGTGGTCCTCGATGGGGTATGTGAAACCACGGACTGTGCCAAGCATGCTCTGCTACGTGCTTCCATACTCGCGACAAGGTTGCTTGAGAGTTCTTGTGGGGAAGCATTCAGTTACTCAAACTACGCGATTGACAACTGCTGCCAAGTTACCGGCTCATACGCTCTCCTGAATGCATGCCACAAATGCTCCATAGGATTTGACTGGGGAAGCGGACATACTCCACGAATCGCCAAAGATCCTCGCTTTCCAAGAGTTTCCAACCTAGGCTGTGCTCGGTGGTCTCGCACATTGTCCTCCATACGACACGAGTTGAAGGTCGAAAGGCACCCTTGAGAAAAGATGCGCATAAGAGAGGAGTACAGCGTCACAATAACGTAAAGGGTTCCGCGTTCACGAGTTGGAGGTCATAACGCTCCTGCAACTTTACGCCTCCCCACACCATGCCGACAGGACCATCAAATCGTGATGAACGATGGGCTTGCGTGCAGTACATGCTCCTAGTCTCGTGATATGCGGCTAAGTTCAGAATCACTACTCACACTTGATCTCCTAACTAGAAAGAGCACGCGATCCTCCAACTTGGTGTCCGTTCCCAATGTTTCGGCACCCAGCAAATGTTACCGCCGATTACTGTTGGTCGGATAGAGACCATTCCTATGCGGTTATGCCACTGTTCAGGCAGAGATTACGCTCCACACAATCCTGATAAATGGTTTTGCAACTGCAGCGACTGACGTGGGTCTTCTTTTGCCTCTCTTGTAACACCTGACTATCAAGCTGCTGCCGCTATTCATGATCCACCACATCCTCTTCTACGGGCACCAGTCGCTGCGGCTCGTGTTGCCACAATGTTCCTTAATAATGGCCGAAAGCTTGGTAAAATTGAGGACTTTTGCATTTACCAGCCACTCGTCAGTCTTATCAGTCGTTATCCTACTATATATAATCGGCTAAGCGGTTGTGTGTGTGTGTGTCTGTGTGTGTGTGTGTGTGTTTGTCTGTCTGACCGGAAATTCATAGCTCGGGCACCAGTGGTCGTCAGGAGTTGGTTTCAAGATATGATATAGGGGGTGGGACGGGAACATATTTGGTGGGGTAAAGAAAGTGATCACAACTGATAAGGGCTGATAAAAGGCGCTAGAACGCAAGTGTCGCGAAATTCATAGCTCGGGCACCAGTGGTCGTCAGGAGTTGGTTTCAAGATATGATATAGGGGGTGGGACGGGAACATATTTGGTGGGGTACAAGAAAGTGATAACAACTGATAAGGGCTGATAAAAGGCGCTAGAACGCAAGTGTCGCGAAATTCATAGTGCGCTTCGCAGCAGTCGTCAGGAGCTGATTTTGGGGCATGATATAGGGGGTGGGACGGGAACATATTTGGTGGGGGTCACAAAGTGATAACGACTGATAAGAGCAGATAAGAGGCGCTGAAACACAAATTTCACGAAATTCATAGTGCGCTTCGCAGCAGTCGTCAGGAGCTGATTTTGGGACATGATATAGGGGGTGGGACGCAAACATATTTGGTGGGGTCAAAAAGTGATAACGACTGATGAGGACTGATAGTAACGATGCGTACGAACGTAGAGAGCACTTGAAATAGAAAATAGAGAGCAGATTGTAGATAATGCCTTTTATTTAAACCAGATTAGTCCCCCGTCAAC